CCGGTGCGCCTAACAAATTTCCGACGGATTGAAATCGATATAAAAGACGATACTGGAAAAAATATACCATTTGAATCCGGCACGTTAACGGTGACTTTACATTTTAAACGTATCGATTAGATTTTTAAAAATACTCTGTAAAGATTTTTTTGATAAGAAAGAAGGATTTTGTTCATTAATATGGATTATTATTCGGAGTATTATAACGGATTACAAAACGGTGGAACTCGCGGCGGTGGAATTCCACGAGTTTTTGTCGGTTCACCCTATCAACGAGGTCATGGAATAGGTAGTTTTCTCGGAGGAATGTTCAGACGCGTATTGCCTTATTTAACTAGAGGACTAGGGGCAGTGGGTAAAGAAGCTTTGCGCGCCGGGGTTAATATAATCGAGGATGTTGAAAATAAAATGCCGTTAAAGGTAGCTGTCAAGCATCGTTTTGAACAATCGCGTGACAATCTTAAGAGAAAAGCTAGGGAAAAAATAAGTAGTCTAATGAAAGGTAGGGGATATAAATCGGATGAAAAAATTCATGTAGCGCAGTTTCCTTTCGGCAGGCTTAAGACTCACGTCGCTAAATCCTCGGTAACCGCATCGCGTAAACGTCGTAAGACAAATAAGAAAAAAAGTTTATCGAAAATCAAGTCGCGTGGGAAAAAAAGAACAAATACAAAAAAAACTAAAAATAATACGAGGAAAAATCGCTCGACTGTAAAAAGACTCAAGTTGTCCGCGAAACGGCGTAAAGCTAATAGCGGTAAAAAGCGTACAGTATACGATATATTTTCATAATCGCCATTATTCTAAATACGCTTGTTCGTGACAATAACGTTGGTAGAGCAGGCGGTGAAAGAAAAAAATGTCATTTCTTCACACACACTCGAGCGAGTGTTTAAAGAGCGAGCTCGATCTCTTCTCTTTACCGCCCACGCAAACTAGCATCGAAAGTTCGCAATGGATTTATTACAAACCCGTGACCTCGCTTTCGGACGACTCCCCGCTAGAATTCGTCATCCCGGGTCACGGAGAAGAATATTTAGATCTCACACACACGTTACTAAGTCTTCGGGTACGTGTAGAAACCGAGCCGCTACCCGGTCTCGCCACCGGATCCGCCGTCAACGTGGGCCCCGTAAATCATTTTCTTCATTCCATCTTCAATCAAATCGACGTGTATTTCAATCAAAAGCTCGTGTCGCCTCCAAACAACGCTTATGCGTACCGCGCGTACATCGAAGCGTTGTTAAATTATTCATCACCCGCAAAAACTTCCCATCTAACCTCGTGCTTATGGGATGCGGATACACCCGGTCACATGGACGATACAGTAGGAGCGGAAGGCAATACCGCTATAGCGAGACGAGCTCGTTACATACGCGGAGGGCGCGCGCTAGATCTTATAGGTCACCTCCATTGCGACGTTTTCAATCAGGACAAATTCTTAATTAATGGCGTCGAGGTGCGGTTGAGACTCGTGCGCTCGAAAGATACGTTTTGTTTCATAGAAACTAATTGCACGTCGAAAATTCGTATACTCGATGCAAGCCTAATGGTGAGAAGAGCGAAAATAAGTTCCGGAGTATTACTAGCGCATGCTAGAATGCTGAGCAAAGTTACCGCCAAGTATCCGCTTACGAGAGTTGAAATTAAAACATTCACGATTCACAGTGGGGTTGTGGGTGAATCGTTAGATAATGTAATACTGGGACAATTACCGAAACGAATAATAGTAGGTTTCGTCGATAATAAAGCGTTTAACGGTGACAGAAAATTGAATCCGTTTAATTTCCAAAATTACGGAATAAATTTCTTCTCGCTATACGTCGACGGTACACAAATACCCAGTAGACCGTTACAACCGGTTTTCTCGTCTCGCGAACCGCTTTACATCGAAGCTTATCATACGCTCTTCTCAGGGACGGGTATCCATTTTTTGAACGAGGGAAATTCTATAAGTAGAGATGATTATTCTCAGGGATATACGTTATTCGCTTTTGATCTTACACCCGATCTATCCGCTAATTGCGCCGGTCATTGGAATCTCGTGAGACACGGAAGTCTTCGGTTAGAAGTGAGATTCGAGAAGGCACTCACCGAAACAATTAATTGTATCGTTTACGCCGAATTCGATAATGTCGTAGAAATCGACGCATCGCGTCAAGTTATCGTCGATTTTTCCGGTTAGCTTTTAACGCTCGTTCACCAACATGTATTCATACACAGTAATGTAATACGCGATTAGAAAATTTTCCCCCTCCTCTTCCTTTGGAAATTTCGATGACGCTATTCACGAAGTGGAAACTATGTAACGCGCTAGAATGAATTCAGTTTTGTACGAGACACGAACAAACGCGCACGTTTCGCTAAGAGCTTGTACCTCACCAACGAAAATCTCACAATATGGACATAGTCGTCGACATACAAGGTTTCCGCGATGAAGCCAATAAATTTATCGCGAAGGAAGTCGCCGTTGTCGCAATCGATGCTCCGATTGTCGAGCATTGGATTATGATGCCACCATACGCGTTTGGAAAATTACCCGCAAAAGCAAGACGAGAAAACAATTGGCTCTCACGAAATTATCACGGTATCGAGTGGTTCGACGGCTCAGTTAATCCTAAATATTTTACCTCGCATCTCCGCGAAATCGCAAGACACGCGCGCTGCGTTTACGTCAGAGGTAACGAAAAAGCAAACTACTTGAGGAATTTACTTTCCAGAGATATAAATAATTTGGAGGGTACCTCACCAGCATTTAAAAATCTACCGGATGAGGAGAATATCGTACAATATTGCGGTCATCACGGGATTCGAAAATTTGGAACCTTTCATTGCGCGTTATACAATGCTTATAAATTAAAATGCTGGCTAAGTGCGCAAAATAATTGCGAGAACGTTTCGACCTCTACCGAAGCTACTTGTAGTTCTGACGAAAGTTGGGAAATTACCTTCGACGATAGCGACGATAAATACGACGCCGCCGTTTCTCGCGATGTAAATGAGAATATAACTAAAATACAAATAGAGGAGAAAAATCAGCAAAACAACGAACAGCAGATTGAAAAAGAAGAAGAGAGATTTGTGATTTCTGAACCGTCATCGACGTTGACGGATAGAAACAAGAACGAAACAATTTCCATCTCGACGCAAACTGACATTGAAAACCTCTCAAAACAACTCAAGATAGAAGAAAACGCATTGTCGAAAGAGGTAAAAACTGGTATTGTTCAAATAATACCGTACACTCGTTCGTATTCGGGACAAAAAAATGAACTCTCGCGAAATTCTACAAGCATTGCGTCATCTAGATGCCAGACATGTTGGAGTCTATGCAGCCGACAGAGTTCCGAGGGTGTGGACGAGGTCGACGGCTATCGTCGCTAACACCGACAATCACGATCGACCTGGAGAACATTGGATCGCCTTCTACCTCGATGAACACGGCACAGCCACTTACTTCGACAGCTACGGATTACCCCCCTTGTATCCAGGATTTCTCATCCGACTTCGACGAAACTCCATCATCCATCGTTGGAATATTCAACAATTACAAGGAATTTTTTCTAAGACTTGCGGACAATACTGCTGTGTATTTTTATATTATATGTGTAGCGGCTATAATCTTAATCAGTTTCTCGCTCTTTTTTCCGAAGATTGTGAATATAACGATCGTTTAATCATACACTTATTTCGTAAAATTTTTACTCACAAAAAACAAGCGAATCATAACAATATATAATATGAATTTTAGTATTAATAAATAAATTTTGTTCTGTAAAAATATTTTAAATATAAATCATATTTGTACTTTTAAAACCATTGTTCAATTTTCTTTCACTTCCTCTTTCCAGAAATTGTTATTTTAAAATAAAATTTTATCCGACATCTTTTCAACAATAAGCATTCTTTCTAATCTACGATGATGCATTATTTTTTTATCGTGACACGAGTCGGAATGCTCGCCAGTACAAATATTTGCGTGTTCTTTTTTATTACCCTACGGCATTGTCAGTTACTACCTGCCACCGATCCCCGGTCGACCGCATGACGCTTTTCTTGGTCAAAATGTTTTTACCCCACCCCGTCTAATATCGACCATTTGATTCGACGAGCTATCCTTGCCATACGTATACCCTAACTGTTTTTACCCCACCCCGTCCAATATCGACCATTTGATTCGACGAGCTATCCTTGCCATACGTATACCCGTACCCCCATACCGTACCCTACGCAACTTTAGCTTAAATACCTCATCTAATCCTTAGACTAGTAAGATCTCGTTTAGCTCAACATACTAGGACCCTGCTCGGAAACACGAAGGCCCCAGGTTCAAATCCAGAGGAAATCAAAAAAAAAAAAAAAATAAAAAAATTCTCATCCCCACCTTTCGGGGCCAGTCGCCATTTTTTTTTCCCCAACACCCTCTCCCCCTACACCCACACTCGGAAAAACCAGACGCCGGTGGTGGGGGAAAGATAAGATAAGACTCGGCGCCAGACGGGTCGGTGGTGGGGGTTTGTTTGACGGGCCATAGTGCCCACTATACTACTCATATCTTGATATCTATTTTCTTTTATCAGTTTTTTTTGTTGTTCACTCTTGTTGTACCTTGGTTTGACAATTATAATTTTCTTTTTTCTTCTCCTTAATTGCTTCAGTATAACTTTTCTGAGTTCCTCCTGCTGGTTCACACACTCCTCCTTGCATCATTTCTCTAAGTCTTCTAGTTCTTGTTTAATGCATCCAAATTCTTCTCGAACTATTTCCTTGACCATTATTTTAATTTCCTCTTTATATGCGGTTTCGTCTTTTATTTCTTTCACAGTCTTCATAAGCCGATGTCTACGTGTCGCGTGAAATCTAATGTATGTAATATATGTAATGTATTCATATGTGTGTATGAGACAGAGTTTTAGCTGACTAAAACAAAGTTAACGTGAGAGAGAGAGAGAGAAGAGAGAGAGCAAAAGTTTAATGAGTGACTTGTGAATTAATTTTAGATTTTGACGGTGACGATCTAGTAGCGCAAGCAGCTTTTTTTTTTACCGGCGGTTTTGAAACCTCTTCTACGGCTATGACTTTTACTTTATATGAACTCGCGATGCAACCAGAGATTCAAAATAAACTTAGGAAAGAAATTCTTGACGCTCTCAACAAAGCTAATGACAGTATCACATATGACATGGTACGTCGAAAAATTATTACGTATTTCATATAAAAATTATAACTGTTATCAATATAATATGTTATATTCTTTCCCTTAAGGAAATCCTAACGCTCTTCTGTTTTATTGATAATACGATTATTTTTGTTGCTTCCTTTTCTTTTTATTGGTTTTATAGAATCATTAATGCTTTTTCACGATTGAACTACATATAAAAAAGTTAGAACCTATTGAGTATGTTAAAAACAAAAAATTTTTAATTTTTTCCTTTTTTACGTAAAATTGATAGATTCCAACTTTATTTTTATATATTTACTTTAATCGTGGAAAATCACTTATTAATCCATTCAACCAATAAAAAGAAAAGAGTGCAGAAAAATGAGCATTTTTTCGGTAAAACAAGACGGTGTTAGTATCTTCTTAAACATTATCTTATTTAGGAATTTTACATTAGTTTACAAATCTGATAATCTCAGATCTTTTTATTTATATCCTGTTTATTTTCATTATATGGCGTAATGAATTATTATATTATATTATTATATTATTATAGGTAAATATTTTTTTTATATCAATTAAAATTTCTATTCGCTCGTGTATTGTATAAAACAACAAATTTATCCAAAAAGGCCAACTTATCGAGCAATATTTAAGATGTTGTATCCAATTAAAATTTATTTCATAAACAATATATTAAAATTACAAAAAAACCTTCCATATAAACGTTTCAACCGCATGCGGTCTTCCTCAGTATAACAGTGTTACGTAATTTATAATTCTTACAAAAAAATCATCCTATTCTTAAACTTACTAATAGTCCGTTAATTCAAGTCGAGAATTTATTAGAAATTTATGCGTGTTACAATTTGTCATATTTAATTTATAAAAGTATTCGCCGTAATATGATCTTATGATGTTGGATCTCGTAAATTATTTCTTCGTTTCTAAGCGAGAAATTCTTAATATCCATAGGCGTTCGTGTCGCCTCTTCTCACAGTTTAACACAATTTTTTTTTTAAATTGAAATTATTATAAATAGATAAAACCAACAGTCTAACAAGACACCTCATTTTGAACTATCTATTTTTTTATGTTCCATATTTTTGCCATCATTATCTTGTAATAAATTTTAAATTAAAATTCTATTAAAGCATATTCTACTTAAAATTATTTGAAGAATGTAGTGTCGTTTTTTTAATATTTTAACTCCACAAAGTTTCATTTAGGATAAACTTTTTCAATCATTTATAATTTGAAAATTAGTTGTTTCGACTTTTTCGTTCAGGAAAAATCGTTTTCAAATTGGTTAGAGAATTTGATGGAATATTCCATATATGTTTTTGCTATTACACTTTGTATATATATGTAAATGTGATGATTTCTTGTGTCAGGTAATGTCGCTACCATATCTGGATATGGTGGTGTCCGAAACATTGAGGTTATATCCGACATTACCCTTCTTGGAGTGCATAACAACAGAGACCTACAAGATGCCGAATTCCGATCTGGTTCTCGAAAAAGGTACGCCGATTTATATATCGATGCTCGGCATGCATTACGATTCGGAATACTTTCCCAATCCGAAGAAATACAATCCAGAACGATTCAGCGAAGAGAACAAACGTAATATATCGTCAGGCGCCTATTTCCCATTTGGCGAAGGCCCGCGCCAATGCATAGGTAAGAGAATCACTTTCATAACAAAATATAATCACTTAATTTTTCATTATCAACATATTTCCAGATATAGGAGAGAGTAGGATAAATGATACAGCTTTTTATGTGTATATAAATTTTGCTTTCTTTCTCAAATTTTGCAAAATTGAAATGATATTTTTTTCTTCTTTTTAAGGGGACCCCCTCGACTGTCTGTTTTATCGACAAAATTATTATGTTTGTACTTCTAGTTTTTCGTCGCATTAATTTGGCAGAATTAAAAATGCTTCTCTACAATTGCAATACGTACATACATACATCAATGATTCGAGAAAGTTCCGATTTCATATAAAAAACGAAAAATAATTAAAAGATTACAGTTTTCATTATTTATTTTTATTTCGATATGGATTCTTAAATTAAAAATGATTCTTGAATAGCAAACGAGCTATGAACTCAGCATAATATGTGCTTTATATAAAAAACATACATTTCGTACAAATATGAAAACAAGTTCCTTAGGATTGATGTAGGTACACAAAAAAAAGCATTATTACTCTCTAATTAAGTCTAATATAAAAGTATAGTTTGTATTACGATTCGTACGTGTGTGTTTGTGCGTTGTAGGTATAGTAAAGTGAAAAACAACAATATATATTTACGTTTAAATCTATAGTATTAAACGTAGCAAAAAATGACTCCATGAGTGCCATGTATACATAGATTTCTAATACATTTGACTTGGATAATTGATAATGTGGAATTCAAAATAGAGTTTTTGTAATACCGGCTTTTAGATACGATAAACGCTAAAGTCACGTTATTTTGATCGAAAAACAAATTGCGCAGTGCATCTTTCACCGTAACGCTATTCAAATAATGTGTGATGTTATTTTTGACTGAATAAGGTTTATAATTAACGTGAATGTACGACTACTGCAAAGATTCGATCAAAATAATGTGATTTTAGCGTTCACCGTATCTAAAAGACAGTATTGCAAAAACTCTTTAATATCAGTAATTATCTTCGAAAGTCAGTCGATAATTATCGATATTTTTCCAAAATAAGGGCGCTACTATACAGCATGAAATTTTAGTTAAGCTCAAGCTTTGTTGTAATTTTGTGCGAGAATGATTTGGCATTTTTGTATTTGTAACAAAAACGCAGAGTAACGCATTTAAAAATTGGGATAAAATGAACGTCCAGAACGCTTTACCATTTTATCCCGACCGCTCTATTTTTATAAAAAAAAAATGGCTACGAGAAGACTATCTTATTATGAATTTTCTATATTCATTGAAGTATATAGTAAAACTGGGTCTTACCAACATAATAACTTAATAATTTTTAATATCTCTCGTAATCACAGGATGTACAGTGAAATGAAACAAGAAGCTTACTTTATAACATATTACCTTATATTATTTTATATTACCTTATATTAGATAATTAGAAAATTAAATATATATTATGTTGCTAAACGTCCAATCATTTTAGCAAATACTTACGTAATAGCAGGGCAGAGGCAGAAGTAATAAAAAAGTAAAATTCTACACGCAGATAACAAAGCACTAATTGCAGAGATAAGTATAAGATACCACTTTATACCACTCGGGGGACAATTTTATTCCACTCTTGCCTATATTCTTTTTCACATTTACATTTGTGAGCGTATGTATGTGTGCGTGCATGTGTGTGAATAGAAAATTTACTTCTTAAAAATGTATATTATCATAATACTACCATAGGTACTCGTTTGGGATTATTGCAAACAAAACTTGGGATTATTAAAATTTTGAGCAAATACGAAGTGACGCCATGCGAAAGGACTTTGATACCAATGGTAATTGATCCAAAAGCTCCTACGACAACACCATTAAGTGGCGGTCTGTACCTGAACATCCAGAAAATTAATAACGCTAATTAAAATTTGATGAGAGTTATTACTTTCAAGCTACAAGATGTACACGATTCGACTAATGCTCAGTAAAATTTTCTTTAATAGGAGAACGCGATTCGATGAACGCGTTAATTTATAAGACTTAAGATTATCAGAATATATTTATTAGAAAATATAAAACTATATTTAAAAATATAAAAGATGTAAATGATATTTAACACTAAGCCCTCATCATCATGATTCTTTAATCATTAAAATATATTCCTTTAAAAAAGACGTCACAGATGTAAAAAAAAACACTAAGTATATCTTTCGCCAGCAAGTTCCTTACAAAAATTAATCACCATCAATAATACTTTCTTAAAAATTATATTTTATTTTTATTAATAATATAAAAAAAAAATTTAATATTAGCGTCAAAAAGTAGTAAAATAAAAAATTGCACTAACAATAAGTAAATGACAATATAATATATGATATTTATAGGAATTTTCCATAATGATACAATGTATAATTATCACTTTATTTTAAAGTTTATAATATATATAATAATCAAGGTTGGGAAGTAACGCATTACTTGTAAAACCGTTACTGTTACAGTTACTTTTTTTGGTAACTGTAACGGTAACAACGTTACAATAATATATTGTGTATCAAGTGCGGAAAGTTGACAATTGGTCACGAGTGCGGGCAAACCTTTTGCATTAATGTTGAATTTGTATTATGTGCAAAATTTAATTTACTTAATTTCTTTATGTAAATAATTTTAATTTTCGCCTTCGGCTCGTGCGTCCATCCCACACGAGTGAACAATTGTCAATCCGCACTTGATACACACGATATTTTGTATTACAAGTGCAGGCAAAGTGGCTTTGTGCGCGTTTTCTGTGCGCGAGGTGGCCGATCGCACGCCGCCATCTTGCGACGGCACGGTACGGGAATAGCCGCAAGCAATGGCTTTGAATGCGGCTTATTCACTCACCGCGTCGCCGTTAGATGACGGCGTGGGAAATCGGCCTGTAGCGACTTATAAATAAATTCACCAGATTTAAAAAAAGAAAGTAATGTTTATTCATTGAAAGTATAAAGCGAAAGACAAAAAGAATTAATATATAACAAATAAATGAATGAATGTGTTGTTATGGAAATATATATTTTTCTTAAAAAAAAAATATGTTAATGAATTGAAGTTATTACAAATGTATAAAGATGTAAAAAGTGTAAAAGTGCAGTGAAAAGTGTAAGGTGTAATAAAAGTGTAGAGTGTAAATGAAAGGTGTGGATGATGAATGCTACAGTACTCCCCCCCCAAGTGACGATATTCGTTGCAAAATGGACTTTCTTCTTCTTTGGTGGGTAGGTACGTAGAGCTTTTCCAACAGTAGAAGAAGAAGAAGAAGAAGGATTTGAAGTAGCAGAAACAGGAGCTGAAGATCTGGTAGAAAGTTCAGTAGAATCTGAAGTTCTAGGAATGAAGGCTGGCTTGAGACGTTCTGTCGAAATATTGACAACTCTTCCTGAAACGTTAACTGCAAATAAATGATCAGAGATACGTTTCTCAATAGGAAAAGGGCCAGAATAAGGAGGTTGTAGTGACTTCCTAACAGCATCTTCTCGAATCCAAACATGAGTACAATCAAAAAGATTCTTGTGAACGAAAGGTGATCTTTTGCAATGATGACTTGTAGGAGATGATCTGATATTCCTCATATGAATCCTGTGTTTTTCAAGAAAGATTTCAGGATCTGCAGAAAAATCTTCTTCAATGAAAAATTCTCCAGGAATACGAAGAGTGGATCCATATAGAAGTTCTGCTGGTGAAGCTTTTAAATCTTCTTTGAAACACGAACGTAATCCCAAAAGAACTGAAGGTAACGATTCTATCCAGTTGGTTGTTTCGTGGCACATAATCGCTGCTTTCAAAGTTCTATGTCATCTTTCCAGAATTCCATTTGAAGCAGGATGATAAGCAGAAGTTCTAATCCTTTGACAGCCAATTAGGTTTGTTAAAGCTTTGAATAAAGCTGCTTCAAACTGAGGACCTTGATCTGTTGTAATGCTGATAGGAGAACCAAAACGCGCTACCCAATGTGAATAAAATGTTGTAGAAACAGTTTCAGCAGAAATCTCAGAAATAGGAACAGCTTCAGGCCATCTGGAAAAACGATCAATCATAGTAAGACAATAACGGTAATTTTGACAAATAGGAAGTGGTCCAACAATGTCTAAATGCACATGCTGAAAGCGTTGATCAGGAATTGCAATCTTAATTGGAGAATTCTTGGTGTGTCTTGAAATCTTCGCACGTTGACATGGAAGACAAGTTCGAGTCCATTCCTTCACATCTTTCTTCAAAGAAGGCCAAATGAATTTCAGTAGTAATTGTTTAGATGTCAATCTACCGCTGGGGTGAGCGAGTCCATGAACAACATCAAAAATTCTCTTGCGTAAGAGTTTAGGAACATATGGACGAATTAATTCCGAAGAGCAATCACAATAAATAGGTATGGTTGATCCTGAAAGAATAAGTTTTTTAACAGCAGTAAAGAATTTGAAGAAAGTAAAACTTGAAGTTCTTCATCTTCTTTCTGATAATTAGCAAGTTCTTCTAAAGAAACTATAATAGGCATTGAAATAGATTCAATTCTTGACAGAGCATCAGCAACTGAATTCATTTTTCCAGAAATATAGGTAATATTTGTAGAGAATTGAGCAATAAAGTCCAATTGTCTGATCTGTCTTGGTGACGCTTTATCCAATTTCTGACGGAAAGCAAAAATCAAAGGTTTATGATCAGTTCTGATAATAAGTTGTCTTCCTTCAACAAAATGCCTGAAATGTTTAATAGCCAAATAAATGCTAAGAAGTTCTCTATCATAAGTGCTATAATTTCTTTGAGCTTTGTCTAGTTTCTTTGAGAAAAATGCTATTGGTTTGATATCGTCGTCAATAGACTGTTCAAGTGATGCACCAACAGCAAAGTCAGAAGCATCACAAGTTAAAATAAGAGGAGCATGAGGAGCAGGATGAGAAAGGGTAGTAACTTGTAAAAGTTCTTCTTTACATGACTCGAAAGCTAATTCCGCTTTTTTAGTCCAAAAAATAATTCTTCTATCTCTCTTGCGACTGTCCTTTAAATATTCTGTTAACAGAGCTTGATGATTTGCAGCATCCTTGAGACAGCGACGATAATAATTGATAATTCCTAAGAATCTGCGTAATTCATGAAATGTCTTAGGTTTAGGATAATCAATAATTGATTTCACTTTTTCGGATGTAGGTTTAACTCCTTGGTTAGAAACTAAGTAACCAAGAAAAGAAATCTCGCTTTGACCGAAAAGACATTTAGCGACATTGATTGTCATTCCAGCTTGTTGAAAACGATCAAAAATAATGCGTAAGTGAGCAATATGTTCTTTCTCGTCTTTAGAAACGATAAGAATGTCATCAAGATAACAAAAGGCAAAACTCAAATCATTAAGTAAAGAGTTCATGAGCCGTTGAAAAGTTTGGGCTGCGTTTCGTAAACCGAAAGGCATTACGACAAATTCAAAAAGCTCAAATGGAGTAGTGACAGCTGTTTTGTGAATATCTTCTTTAGCGACGGGTACTTGATAGTACGCTTTAACTAAGTCGATTTTAGAAAAGATATTCTTACCAAAAAGTGAAGAAGAAAAATCTTGAATATAAGGTAAGGGATAACGATCCGGGATAGTCACTGAATTGAGTGCACGATAATCACCACACAGTCTCCAAGAATTTTGTTCCTTTTTAGGTACCATATGTAGAGGGGCTGCCCAGGAGCTGCTTGAAGGCCTGCAAATTCCTTGCTCCATCATAGACTTGAATTCTTCCTTGGCACATTTAAGTTTCTCAGGAGTAAGTCTTCTGGGAGTCGAAAATTTAGGAGAACCTTCTGTAAAGATATGATGTTCAACACCATGCGTTTTTACCGAGGAAATTGGAGAAAAACGGGTGAGTCCTGGAAATTCAGTTAAAAATTTGTGGTACACAGAATCAGGAGATGTGGTAAAAATTGACAAATGCGCAACTTCTTGAATTTTTCCAGTATTCATGAGACCGGTAACGTTATCAATCAATTTTTTGTTTTTAATGTCAATCAGGAGATTAAAATGACAAAGGAAATCGGCGCTTAAAATAGGACGTTGAATATCCGCGACACAAAATTTCCATTTGAATTCTCTCCTAAGACCGAGGTTCAAAATTAAAGTTTTAGAACCGTAAGTACTAATTTGAGTACCATTTGCGGCAAAAAGTTTTAAATTAGTATGCCACGGCTTCAATAAAACCCTTTTAGGTAACAACGATATATCAGCGCCCGTATCGACAAGAAAATTCAAATTTGAATGTCTGTCGAAAATAATGAGGCGATTGTTAGAAACACCGTCGTAAGCAGCCTCAGTCTTAAACGGCGTTTTTAGTTTTCCTGTGAAGCCAAGAATGTTTTGGACATAGAACAAGGTAAAGTACATCGTTTAGCCTTATCACCAAACTTCTTATGGTAAAAGCAAACTGATGTATCTTTAATATCTTTATTTGATTTGTCTTTGTTACTCGATAACGATCTAAATCTTCTATTCTCTCTAGACCGGCTTTTGGAACGATCTCGACGACGAGAAACTTCAAGAGCTTCGATTCTTCGTAGCAAATCCGCGAAATCCGAAGATTTATTATTTGCATTATTGGAAACTTCCGCGACTTGCAAACCGCCGTCTCGATCAGCAATTTTATCGGCTAATTCCGCAAGTTTAACAAGAGGAACGTCTTCTACTACGGCTAAAGTCGTTTGAATTCTATGTGGTAAGCGTTGAAGCCAAATCATTTGCAAAACACTATCCGCTAAAGATCCTCCAGACAAATGACGAATTTCTCGAAGTAATTCCGAAGGCTTTTTATCGTTAAGTTCAATTCCAGCTAATATTTGTCTCAAACGTTTTTCTTCTGAATCCGTAAAGCGATTTATTAATATTTTCTTTAAATAATTATATTTATCTGTTTCAGGTGGATTTTCAATGACTTCAGATATGTTTATTAAGGCTTGTTCATCAAGATGACGAATGACAGAACTATATTTAATATCATCTGATCGAATTCGATAAACCGTAAACTCACTTTCAATAGAAGCAAACCAGAGTTTAGGTTGCTTATGCCAGAAAGTCGGTAGTTTTAATAAACGAAACTCATTTGAGTAAATTTGTAACATAGGATCACTTACTTGATGTCCAGTTTGAGAAGGTAAAATATTAATATTATCT